GTGAACTGTAACACTTGGGAGTTCATCTGAGATGACAGTAGGTTTTCATATTGCTCAGGAGCTCTTAGAACTGACAGCTCTGCTCATTGAACTAGACCTGAAAAGAAAGAAGAGCTTCTGTTTCATCACCAGCTAGGAAGGATTTACGGATGAAATTCTGCCATAAATTAAAAATCTCATCCCTCTCAAGGAGAGCAGCCCTCTCCCTTGTGTGCCTTTCTTTAGTCCTTCAAGAGCCCCAGTGAATCTATTGAGTAGCTTTTGAAATCCCAGAATTTGAAATCCAGATTCCACCTTCAGGAACAAGGAAAAATGTGGGGTCTTAGTTTAGCTCAGAAAAAGAGGGAATTTAGCAGGTAATTCCTATTCCTTCAAAAGCACTTCCTACAACCTTTCTCTTCAACAGCCAGTCTTCCCCTCTGTCCTTTGCAGGCCATTGTGAAACCTCCTCAGAAGCATTTTCTGGTGTACAGGAGAACTTGGGAGAGGGGATGAATATAAATGAAGTGAATGATTTCACTCTCTGTTTCAGTAAGTGAGGATTTGCAATGCTCCCATCCTTGTAAAATTTACCAAATCCTCATTTTTGGCATAATTTGGTGCATGAGTCACATCTGTGTGACTCCTCTTGGCACACACATCAGGCACCTTTTTAGAGAGCAAAACCCTTTCTTTAGGGGAATATCTCTTGGGTTATGAAACAGTGAAAAAAAAACATCCTTAGGTTTAAAAGAATCAGGCTTGAAGGTATTTAGGCCTATAAATGAATGTCCTGTTTTACAGAAGTTCTGTGGTGGCTTTCACAAATGAAAAGTGAACAGAAATTCTGGAGCCCAGAAGTTCCTAGAATTCTTTTACTCAGGCACAAGAACAAACCAAGGTCATATCCCTGCTTTCTAAAGCAGGTGAATGAAATATAATCAAATTATATTATGCCTTATCTTCCACTTTTGGAAATAATAACCTGTGAGATCCTTTTATAACTGCTTAAAAAAAATCCTTATATTCCCTAATCTGTTTTTTCTCACAGATTCCCAACTCCTCAATAGCCAAAATCCTCCACTATGGCAGTGTGATGGGAAATGTAGGAAAAACATAAGAAAAGGCAAAAAAGAAAGGGGAAATGAATCCTTCAAGTAGCAGCTGATTTACTTTGGGATGTTCCCATCCCTGCTTTTCCCTTTTCCTCCTCCTCTCCCCCTTCCCCACCGTGGCTGTGCTTTAGGGGAGATGGAGAAGGCTCCTGGTAATTGGTTAATCAGCTATTTTCAATTCAATTCCTGGCTGTACTTACCATGGAAAATTAACAGTCCTTGCGTATAAATATGACCCCTACTCCTGGATTAATTTGATTATGCGAGAATCTCAGTTTTCATTTAAAAATAATAACTTTCTGGCTGCTCTGATAAAACAAGTTTGGATATGTAATCTAAATATTCCCTAATGGCTTAAAAAAAAAAAATCAAAAGACAAATATGAAGAACATATGAATCTCTTGTTAATATAATTTAAATGTTCTCAAATCTTTGCTGTGATTGCTAGAGATTGAATATTTTGAGACCAGAAAATTCCTGATTTTCATTCACTGCTGGATCAGCATTCTCTGATAGCCAAACCTTCTTTAAGTATCTTCATTTGGGTCCACAAATAGAGAAGTGATGTTCATTAAATGACTGGGGATATGTTAACCCTGAGTTCTCTAAATTTCCCTGGGCTTGTAAATCTCACTAGAACTTAGGTCAGGATAGTTTGAAAGGAAATATTTTTTAGAGAACTTTCCCATTTTGGACATATTTCATTGTTAAATCTATTACTGGTGTGATACCATCAACCCATGGAACTAGGAGGATAAATGAACTGTATCCTAACAAATTAAAATGTGCCAGAGAACAGGTCCGGGCATTGGAACTCGATTGTCCACGCTGATAAATTGCTGGGATAGGATCAAACATGATTTCAGCTGGGCTAATTAACTCTCAGATAGTTTGTAGATTGGCTGTTTGAGTGGTATCTCATGGTGAGGGCAGCAGGGAGGGAGATGGTTTTACTTGGCCTTGTGAGACCCCACCTGCAGAGCTGCCTCCAGCCCTGGGCTCCAACAGCAGAAGGATTTGGAGCTGCTGGAGAGAGTCCAGAGGAGGCCACAGAGATGTTCCAAGGGTTGGAGCCCCTCTGGAGCCAGGCTGGGAGAGCTGGGGGTGCTCACCTGGGGAAGAGAAGGATCCAGGGAGAGCTCAGAGCCCCTTGCAGGGCCTAAAGGGGCTCCAGGAGAGCTGGAGAGGGACTGGGGACAAGGGATGGAGGGACAGGACACAGGGAATGGCTTCCCACTGCCAGAGGGCAGGGATGGATGGGATATTGGGAAGGAATTGTTCCCTGGCAGGGTGGTGAGGCCCTGGCACAGGGTGCCCAGAGAAGCTGTGGCTGTCCCTGGATCCCTGGAAGTGTCCAAGGCCAGGCTGGATGGGGCCTTGGAGCAGCCTGGGATAGTGGGAGGTGTCCCTGCCCATGGCAGAGGGTTGGGCATTTTTTAGATGGTTAGATGGTCTTTAGTTCCTTCCCAAACCATTCCAAGATTCTCTGATAATCCACGTGTGGACAGAACTTCACCTGCAGTCAGTGACTCTTCAGCCAAGGGCTGTTGTAGGACCCGGTTAGAAACTATCCAGTGATAGGTGCAAAAGCTGAGTAACGCCTAAAAAATATCCAGGATCAGTTTAGCAACTTTTGATTATCTTTCCATGTTTCCTTCCTTCTTTCTTTGTGAAGGATTCTTTCTGTTAAAATCAAGATAATCCAAGGACACGAGGCAGGCACTGCACCTGTCTGAAGCAGACTTTGCCTGAAGCTGAAGTTGAATGGCAAGTCCTCCAGGATCTGTGTTTCTTTCAGGTCCTACTGGTTCTGTTCAGCAGGGAGAAAGTGTGTCACAGGAACCTCTCAGGCTTAGTCTGGAAAATTTAGGGTTTTGGCAGTTGATGATGGAGCAGCATTTGGAAGTTTTGAGAGGTTGTTGTTCATGAATTTATGTTTGTGAAAATTCTGAGTTTCAATAAAATAATAACAAAATAAAAGTAAATATAAAATAAATAAAATAAATAAAATGAAAGTAAGAATCCAATCCTTGACTTTACTTGGGAACCCTGAGGATCAAAGAGATTAAAAAAAGTGATTTAGAGACATCCCTGGAAGTATTCCAGGCCAGCTTGGACAGGGCTTGGAGCAGCCTGGGGATGTTGGAAGGTGTCCCTGCCCATGGGAGTGGGTGGGAATGGATGAATTTAAGGTCCCTTCCAACCAAACCATTTTGTGAATTTGATGATCCATGTTCTTCTAATTCAGCTTTTCTGCACCCATTAATGGATTAACTCCACAAATTGACAGTATTTGGGTGGAATGTGCTGTTTCCAGCCCCAGGAAGCTGAAATGAGCTCTCAGCCAGTCCAGTGCTCACTGGAAATTTCTCCATGGCTCTGTTACACCAGGTTTTATCCTACTTACTGCAGTTCCCTGTGTCTGGGATGACAATGAGCTTGGAAAAGTAATTTATTTTTTCTGTTGGCAAGCTACAGAGATAGTCCTATTTTTTTTCTAATTCCATGGGGCCAAAGTATTCCTGATTTTCTGGAGTTAGTCAATCCAATTTTTAGCTGAGAATTAAAATATTTTCACATGGAAAACTACTCAGTAAAAAGCCCCAAACTGGGACATTCTTTAGTTCTCCCGGGGGAGAGTTTTTGTTACTTATACATTGTTATTTAGGTGTTGTTACTTTCTTCCTAAGGTTGAATGTGTGTTTTGTTAAGGTCCTTTTAAATTTGGGGTGTTTTTGGTTTATTTTTTACTATTTAATGCATCTGTGCAGGAAATACTGGAAAAAATAGTGAGCCAAAGTATGAATGACAAGAAAATGAATCATTTTATCTGGCTGAGATCTTTGAAATTAAAGTGTGAAGACATTGGGAGACAACTTGAGAACTCTGAAAATATTACTTTCATTCAAGCCCGTCTCACCTCTGAAAGTTTAATTTTAATTTTAATATATTGAAAGCCTGGCCATTTGAAATGATAACTGCTTCATACATCATGGATGTCACTCACTCTGTAAATGAAGGCAGCTATCAGGGCGAGGGCAGGGTTAGTTTATTTGATCTTACAAGATGTTCCATAATTTTTCTGACTGTTCACTCCTCTCCTGTGGCTGTAGATCATGTTGGGAATACCAGCTACAGCTAACGAGGTTGAAACCTTGGTCATGTTGCTCCCACTCTGGAGCTTCCCAACAATTTTCTTCCCAAAGCCCCTCTCTTGAGGCACAGGACATTCAATTTTCCTAAATGCCACCAACTGACTCGTGGCACCTCTTGCTCCACTTGCAGATAACCCTGATTTTCCCTTCTCTGTTGGTAAATGTTGGATGCCAGCTGGGACTAGGAATGGGCCTCCCTGCTAATGAGAAATATTGTTTCCAGAGAATTCACAAGTGAGCCCACATTCTTCATCTGACCTGGTTTGCTCCTCACCAGCATCAGGACTAAAGGAATTAAAATAATGCATGCACTGAGAAAAGTGAATCTGGATTTTTCTCCATGGGAAACATTTTGTGAACAGAAAGTTGTATTTTCAATGCTGGCAGTTCAATTTCTTGCCGCCACTGTTTGAAATGTGTTTAAAAGTAGCAAAAAATTAATGTGGAGATGGCAGTGAAAAGGTTTTGAACTACAAGAGGACAGGGATGGATGGGATATTGGGAAGGAATTGTTCCCTGGGAGGGTGGGGAGGCCCTGGCACAGGGTGCCCAGAGAAGCTGTGGCGGCCCCTGGATCCCTGGCAGTGTCCAAGGCCAGGCTGGACAGGGCTTGGATCAGCCTGGGATAGTGGGAGGTGTCCCTGCCCATGGGAATTGTTCAGGTTTCAGTGGATCCATGAGATCCACTGAAAAACAATTGATTTTATGCAAATACTCTATCACATTTTAACTTGTTCATTTTTTTTTCCCTTCTAGATAAACATCATGTCAATGGGAACAGAATGGTTGAACCTTTCCCAGAGGGAACACAGATGGCTCTGTTTGGTAAGGCAGCAGTTTGAAAATAAAAGCTCAAAGCTCTGTGGTGTTTCTGCATTCCAGATTTCTCAATTTCAGCCTGATTCCTTCGAGTTTCAGAATCTGGGCTGCTCCTGCCATTTCCCAATCACTGACACCAGCTAAAGCCACTGGGCATTTCGGGATATGTCCTTGATATGCCATTTCCATATAAAGAAATACACTAAAAATGTTTTTTCTTAGTTATACAAACAGAAAATGTAAATCCTCTATTTTGTTCCCTAAAATTTCCAAAATAATAGCTTTATTTATGTATTATAATTTGTCTAAGATCATTCATTAGTTTAAAAAAAAATTCTATGATGATGATCCATGATTCTCCACACTTTAAACCATGAAAGGAACTTCAGGTGTTTGGGATCTCCTGGACTTGGAGGGTTGTTACCATTTACATGTCCTAAACCAAACCTGCTGGTTTCTACCTGACCTTGTGGAATTCCTGCTGGGAGTCATCAGAGCTGGAAAAGGGGCCAGCTGGAAAAGAGAAGAGGTTTAATTTCTCTGTATCTGTCTCTTTTCTACAAAAATGTCATTCTTTGAGCCCATTTTGGAGACTTGAAAAGGTGTTTCTCCACAGAAATTAATGACTTCTGGAAGTAATAAACATCCTAAAATAGATAAAAATCACCCTTTTCCAACCAAAAATCACTCTTTTCTGGACTTTACCCAAATCTGGGAATTGTCAGAGCTCTCATTTTGGGATGTGCTGATGTCAGTCCTTAAGGCAAGGGATTTACTGGGAAGAAAAAAGTGGATTTCTATGGCAATTATTAAAATTTATTGCTACAGAGAATGAAAAATTTCCTAATGCTGTTTTGATACAACTGAATTGTTTATGAAGGATGTATTTCTCTATTAACATGTGCAGGATGGTCCAAAGTGCCTAGGAAAAGTATTATATTCTATTAAATGTTTCTCTATCTGTGCTGCTGAAGTAAATATGAATTCACTCCCTGGTACACATTAGTTTAATACTCCAAAAATGATCTTTTCAATTGATGATGGCAAAAATCTTGTGGAGTGTCATCTTTCCTGTGGAATTAATGTTGGAGTAGATTCATTGTTGAAGAGGAGAAACGGCTTGTGGGTGTCACCCTTCAGTTTCCAGCCTGATTTATTCAACTTCTCTTCAGAGTTCCTCCAATCCAATGTTGCCTTTCTGTCAGTGTCTCCTCCCCTGCGGATTTTGGGAACATAAACAAGTTCTTGAAGTGGTGGAATGAGTGATTGTTTTATAATTTTCTTTTGGAGCAAATGGAAAATGATTTTAATCTTTTATGCTCCAAGGCTGAGACGGATTTAGAGATTCTTCTTTGGATTTCTTACAGCAGGAAGGGTCAGAGGGTCCTGTTTCAGTCTGATATTGATGCAGTCTGTGCTCTATAGATATTATTTTTTAAAAAATAAACTTCTTTCTTTTGTTTTAATTTTCTGTGTCATGATCAGATGAGATTTCTGGTGTTTTTGATGGGTGTTAGTTCTATCATTGGACAAAATTTGTATAAATTCACAGAAAGAAACAGAATTAAATTGGGAAAGTGCAAAATCTTATTAAATAGCTCGCTTTGAAGCATTCCTGAGGAACTCTGTAACATTCCTCTCAAGCCTGGGAACTTCCATTCTTTTTCAATTGCCCTAGATTTTCCACAAGGCTGTGATTGCAAGTGTTGGGCTTAAGTGATGAAACCTCAGGCTGGTGCCATCTGTGCTGTGAAGGAACAGAAATCCTGATTTTTGCTATTAGACCTGCACTGGAATAGTGCACAAACATGACTCTGATAATAATTCCTGGCATTTGTTGGCATTGGCACCCCAGTCTGAGGGGTGGGATGGGAAAAGGGAGCTGCAGTTCATTTTCCTCCCTCCAACCCCTCTGAATGGGAATAAAAGGTGAGGTTGGACTGGGACTCTCTAAACTCAGGAGAGAGCCTGAGCCAGTCGAATTTCTGACTCCACCTCACCAAGACAGGATTTTCACACCCCTCTTCCAGAAAGATCCTTTAATCCTTTACTTGGGATTCACAGGGATGAGTTTGGAAGAGCAGTCAGTAGTTACTTAGGAGAGATCCCTCTTTCTGCCTAGAGAGGGTGTGGAACCTCACTGGGGTTATTCCAGCCTCCCTCAGTGGGCTTATTCCAGACCCATCTGGATACAATCCTGTGCCCTGTGCTCTGGGGTGACCCTGCTGGAGCTGGGACTTGGACCAGATGACCCCAGTCTGACCCATCCTGTGATTGCTTAAAAATGTCTGCAAAACCCAAAAGTTGGTTGTGTAGAGACAGCAAATTTGCAGTGAATTTTCCTCCTGCTTGGATAGTTTTAGATGCACCAATAAACCAGCAGAATAAAATATAGTGCAGGGTTGTAAACACTGGATTTCATTCCACAGCTCCCTCTCCTGCAAAACCTCCTCAAGATGCTCTTCCTAATGGTGCATTATTTATTTGATGGTGTGACTGCTTGTTTGGATCAAGGGACAGGGTGAATGTACTCAGGACATTGTTCCCTCAGCTTTCCTATCTATAGCAGAACCTCACAGATTTCAAAGAATGATTTAAATGATCTTCAGACTCTCCTGTTGTCTGTTCAGCATCACTCAGCTGCTGGAGGTGCACCTATTGTTCATTAGGATAAAGAAATGTGTCCTTGTTTCTACAATGGGGTAAAAAAGCCACATTTTGAGGGTGAGGGTGATTCTTTAATGGAAGTCTTTCAGTGCTCCCCATTCTGTGACTTTGTGAGCCAGCTCCCAGCTAGGATTAAAGCACTAAGGGAACATGATGTGTGCACAGGCACAGCCTCACTGGAGACACTGGAATGCTGTGTCAAAAATTCCCTGGAGTCTATTCCCAAATTCTGTGACTGCTGCCCAGAGAAGCTGTGGACTCCCCATCCCTGGAGGTGCTCAAGAGCAGCCTGGATGGGGCTTGGAGCTACCTGGGATAGTGACAGGGGCTGGAACTGGGTGGTCTTCAAGGTCCCTTCCAACCCAAACCATTCTGGGGTGAACAAGTGAACAACATGAAACTTGATGTTACATGTTTGTGTTATGAATGATAAAGCAGAAGCTTTTCAATTAATGCCTGTCCAGAAAGCTTTCTTGGCATTTTTATGGCCGTGGATATATTTAGTTAAAAGTCTTAATTGTCTTAAGAGACTGATTTTGACCCCAAATCTAATCAAAACTCAAAATCTGAATATAAATAAGGGAGGTTGATAATATTTTGAAAAAAAGCAGTTTAGGGTCTAAATTCAACTAATTTACCTGGGGTTAAAAAACCCCAAATATCTGAAAGCTGCAGAACATTCATAATAAGAAATTAATATTTTCCTCAGCACCATTGCAACTCTTGCATATTTTAAACACATTTAAATGCACTTCTGCATTATCATAACGTCATGGAATGGTTTGGGCTGGAAGGGACCTTAAAGATCACCTTCTTGCAACCCCCTGCCATGGTCAGGCAAATTAAGCCCAGAAATGTTTCTGGTCAGGTTTCTGTTGAATTTTAAGCACTCCTTTCCCTTATCAAGCACTGCTGTTGCAAGACTCCAGTTTATCCCAGAGCACCTCCATATTCCCCAAGATTTCTGTGTCACCTGATCCCTCCAAGAGGAAGAATTGTGCATATGGTGTGTGCGTAGAAGGGCTCTTATTTACCTCCAGTGAAATCTGGCAATAGTTCAGATTTGTAATTACAACACTTCTAAAACGCAGGAGCACATTGAGCTCTGTTTGCTTGACATAGACTGGCTTGTAATGGGATAATTGGTTTCTTGAGGTAAACAAAGTGCAGACAGAAATAGGATGTTAAGGAACTGATAAGGTCTAATTATGGATATTTCGGAGCTGGCAGACAGATCCAGGCCCAGTCACCTTCTGCCCTGCACTTATTAGACAGCAGCACATTCCAGTAATTCCACAGAGCTGTGTTATTACTGTGTTTTGCCTGAGTTATTGTGTCCTGTCACAACTGCATTCCCACTGCTTCCAAAGGTTATTTAAAAATTAAACCAGGTTCCACCAGGATTGTCTCAGCCTGTTCCTGAGGCCTCTTCAGCTGCTCCTGCAGCACCTGGGTCTGGGGCCCTTGGAAAACTGAGCTCCTCCAACACATCCTGCTCTCAGGGGCTTCAAGTCCTTCCCACAAAGGTTGGATGGGGCTTGGAGCAGCCTGGGATAGTGGGAGGTGTCCCTGCCTATGGCAGGGTGTGGAAGAGGATGAGCTTTAATGTCCCTCCAACCCAAACCATTCTGTTTCTGCGGATAAAACCCTCATTAGGGCAACTTCTCAACTAAAAGAAAATTATTTCCCTTAGAAGTGGGATGGTGGGTTCAAGAACAGATAAATCCATACAGAGTTTCTTTTCATCCCCCCTGGAACAGCTGCTGGTGGCTGTGTCAGAGAAGAACCAGTGTTAGGAAGTCTTTTGGTCCAGCTGAGTTTTCAATGACTATTTTTCACCAGGAAAAGAAATCACAGGGAACAAAGTTTTGCCCCCAAGAGAAATACCTTTTTTTTTTTTTTTTTTTTTTGACAGTAAAAATAGAACAAGCAACTTTTCTCAAAGAAAAAGAAAAAAAAATATCCTTAAAACAATGCTACACATCAGAAGATGTTTTATCTTTATCTGAAGAGAATGCAAGACTTGATAATGTTGAAAGAGGCGTGTTTGCTCTGACCCAAATGGAGGAGAAACATCCACAGCAATATTGTCACAAGGTGCAAGGATCATGTTGTGGAGGAAGCGAGAGCCAGAGGGAATGCATTGCAGAAGGGGTTCATGTCTCTTGTGTTAATTCTCTTTCAGCCTGTGGAAAAGGGAAGGAAGTGCATTAATAGGCTGGCTTTGCAGAGTTCTGAGGCATTAATGCCGTCCTGTTTTCACACAGTGATGGAAAAACAGACACAGCATTTCTGCAGTTCTGGAATGAGAGAAAAAGCCTAGGAAGTCAGGGCATAAC